GATGGGTACTGAGGAGGGCACGTTTTGGGATGAGCACTGGGTGTTGTATGGAAACCAATTTGACAATAAATTTCATATATAAAAAATAAATAAAAAAAATAAAAAAATAAAAAGCATTGCTAAGAGAGAACTGTAAAACACTAAATGCATACATTACAAAATAGTTTTAACTCAATCATCTAAGCTCCCATCTCAAGAAACTAAAAATTTTTTAAATGAGATAAACCCAAATCAAGAAAAAGGGGGCAAGTAATAAAGGTAAAAGCAGAAATCAAGGAAATTGAAAACAAAACAAAACAAAAATCAAGGAGAATCGATGAAAGAAAGAACTGGTTATTTGGAAAGATCAATACAATTGACAAACCTCTAGCAAGACAGACAAAAGTAAAAATAGAGCAGACACAAATTACCATTATCAAGAATGTGAAACAGGGAACATCATGATAGATACATCAAAAATATAATAAAGGAATACCATGATTACCTCTACAAGAATAAATTTGATAACCTAAAGGAAATGGATTAATTTCTTTTTTAAAAAAAAAACTACCCCAACTCACCAAATACAAAATGATAAATTTAACTACTGAGAAAATTAAATTCTTAATTTAAAGCTGTAAAAGGAATCTCCAAGTCCAGGTGGTATCCCTGGAGACTTCTACCCAAATCTACCATATTTAAATAAGAATTAACACCAATTCCATGCAATCTCTTCCAGAAAACAGAAGAGGAGGATACATATCCCAGTTTATTTTACAAAGCTAGTATTACCTTGATATCAAAACCAGACACAGTATAAAACAAAAGACTACAGACCAATATTCCTTATGAATATAGACACAAAATCTCTTAGCAAAATATTAGCAAGTAAATTTTAGCAATATTACAAGAAGAATTATATATCATGACCAAGTATGGTTTATTTCATGCATTGAAGTCTGGTTCAATATTTAGAAAACAGTCAATGTAATTCATGTTAAGAGGCTAAATGAGAAAAATCATGTAATCATATCAATGAATGCAGAAAAAGCATATGAACAAAATCCAATACCCACTTTTGATCAAAACTCTTAGAAACAGAGGCATACAGGGGAACTTCCTCAACTTGATAATTATCAACAAAAAACCCCCGCTCATAGCTAACATAGTTAAGGGTGAAAGACTGCATGCCTTCTCCTTAAAATTGGGACCAATGCAAGGATGTCTACTCTTACTACTCTTATTTAACATAATGCTGTAAATTCTAGCCAGTGAAATAAGGCAAGAAAGGAAATCAACATCTTACTGATCAGAAAGGAAGAAAGAAAACACTCCCCATTTGCAGATGACGTGACTGTTTACACAGAAAATCCCAAGGAATCTACACCAAAAAGTCATAGAAGTAACAAGTAAATTCAACTAAGTCACAGGATACAACACATAAAAATCAATTGTATTTTTATATACTAGCAATGAACATATGAACACATTGGAATAAGAAATACAGTACCATTTGCAATCATTCAAAAATAAAATGAAATACTTAAGTGTAAATCTAACAAGACATTCCAGAATTTATATGTTGAAAACTACAAGATGCTGATGAAAGAAATCAAAGTTCTAAGTAAATGGAGACACATACCATGTTCATGTATTGGAAGGCTCAACAGAATAAAGATGTCAATCTTTCCCAAATTGGTTTATAGGATTAATGAAATTCCTAATTAAATTCATGCAATACTTTTTTTGTTGTTGAAATAGATAAGATTATTCTAAAATTTATGTGGAAAGGGAAAGGGATTGGAAGTGCT